TTCGACTGAATGTCATGAGTACATGGTACTCACGTCGTTTTTGCAACGCTTTTTTACATTTTTCATTATTTTATCACATTTTCAAATTTCGGGCCCTCGGCAACACTGAAGTTTACGAGGTCCTTTGCGCATCAAATTTGCTTCGTATTTTACGAGGAATTCCTAAATAGAGCTCCATACAAATTTTGACAGTTATTTTACGAAACTCTTAAATTTACGAGGTTTACGAGGCTTTTACAAGTTTAAGGGAATTCGCCTATTGTCTTCTCAAAATTGTCCTATTAATGGGCAAAGAATAGTTAAAAGAAGTAACACTGTTTCACGTAAGGCAGTCAATATGGCGGAATTAGAGCGAGAAGCTGCCAACTGATAACACCTGTATTATTGTATCATGCTATAAGTCCCCTTTCATACACGTCAAGACTTGCTTTCAAGTCTGCTCGTTCGTAGGAGAAGGAGGTGAGAAGAGAGGGGAAGAGTACAGATACCTCCGTACCGTCAATTCGTTTCAAGTTTTCTTGTCTCTTTTGATCTTTTCGTTGCTTCTCATTTAAAGAAACAAGGACTTGAATTCAATTAAGGTTGACGAGTGTGGAAGGAAACAGAATACTCAAAAGAGAATGCGAAAAAAATTGCTTTCAAGACTTGACGTGTCTGAAAGGGGACTAATATAACCCCAAGTTATACATCGAGTGTAAAGTTATCGATGCATCGAAGCAAACCATCGATGTTTTCTATGCATCTATGTTTTTCTCACATTTCTATTTGTGAAACATAATCAAAAATCGTGGTATTTCGTGGTTCGCCGTACACCAAAACAATCGAAATTCGTGGTATTTTGTAGATTTTGGATTTAATACAGCCAAAAAACTTGACATAAATATATAAAAAATGCAGTGTCGTGTTTTCAATTGTGGCAGCCGTAGGAGTAAAGGTTCCAAGGTGAGCTTTTTTTCGTTTCCTGAAGACGACGCCACTGCCTTCAGGTGGGTAGAATTCTGCCGACAAGAGAAGCCCTTCAATTTGAATACCAGCGCCATATGCATGAAGCATTTTACATTTAATGATTTCATGGGTAAATATCTCTTACTTTATTTATACATGATATCTAATAAAAAGCTTAGGATTTACTAAACGACCCTTGCTCAGGCGCGGAGCCGTGCCAACCATTTATGAATGCGATATACCTGCTGCAGTTTCTCGGCCACAAGATGACAGCATAGAGGATTTACTATATAGCTGCGAAGGTAGCAAAAACCATTATACCATAAAAACTATATTATTAATGTCAGTGGTTTATTACAGTTGTTTTGTCTGAAGCTAATAAAGAATATCGGCCCGAGGACGGTACTGTTGATGCTCCAACATCACAGATCCGTTGTTATTACTATGACACCAATTTTCAACAAGAGGAAGTTTTGAAGACTGAAGTGTTCGTTAATAATTAACAGATCTTAACGTGTAAATCAAATAATTTATATTTTTTCCCGTACTTGCAGAGAGACATTGAAGCGCGAAAATGCACTCCTTAAGAAGGAAAACCATAAGCAAAGTATCGAGCTTGCTTCATTGAAGCGGGAGTCCAACCTGCAATTGAAGAGAAACTTGTCGGAATTGGAGGCGCTGCAAAAGCGTTTGGCTGAAATGGCTGCTGAAATTAAAAATGTGGAACATACACTGGCCGGCACGTTTACCAAAAGACAGATAACGAAGATGAAGGTTGGGACGAAGCGACGAAAAATGGCACAAAAAGACATTGCAAAGTCGTTAGCACTGTATGCTGGCAGCATTGTGCAAAGTTTGAAGTGAACTCGGATACATGTGTTTTCCAAGAACGCTGGGACTACCCGATTTCAATTACTACAGGATTTTACTGAAGAAGCTTTAAAGAGACTAACGAAAGCGGCAGAAAAAGTTGTATTAAGGTCCTTGTAAACGATAAGAGTGATTTTCATGAGATACCTCTATTTTGATATGAATATTCTCATGTGCGTTGACGCGCAAACTGTGTCTCATTTTAACACTGCACGTGTTAGATTCATAAAAGAGAAGATTTAACAATAGAAAAATAATAGGGATGCTCACACCGATTAGGTAAATCCTGGCCTTATATGTATTTCGTGCAAATACGTCTAGTGAAATATCAAAGCATACGAATAGTGGTGTTTGTTGACTCATTTCCTGTAAAATCCAGTAAAAGTTACTGGATAATTTGTAAGCGAAAACAACTAATGAAAACTCAACATGCCCTATATGAGAGCTAAGGTTAAATTTATTTAAGGCTGTTTGCATGTGTCAAAGTTTCTTATGAGTGAGTTAAAGCTTAAACAGACGGCAGAGTTTATCCGGATTAACTCGGACTTAATCTGGATCAACTGCAGTTAATTCCCGAGTTGATCCGGATCAACGCTGACGTCTGTTTAAGCTTTTAGAAAGTGAGAGCTTTGAAGTTTTCTTTCCCACTTCTTCCTTCAGCGAAGAAATTTGTGTACCGAAAGCCAAATAGTTTTTGTACTACCGCTACCACCTTATACGAATTCTTCTTGATGAGAGCTGAGAATACCAGTGAGAGTGTTATTTTAAGATGAGAGTCACTATGCAGAGAACAAAGATGGCGCGGTCAGAGGTACCGGTGCTATGGCACAAGGTAGCGAACAGAAGGTGGCGCATTCCGCAAACCGCTACTTTGGTTTTGTCAAATAACGTAGATCTATATTGTGTGGTTTTGCCGATTCTTACAGTTATCTATGTTCATAAACAACGCCTCAAAAACTTAAAATGCACCCAAATTCACTATACTTTAACTAAAATCACAATTTTTTCACATTTCCCCTATTAATTAGTATTACAAGTCATATATTTTCACAATTTAAAAAGAATTAAAACACGTTTCCTATCTAAAAATGGAATATTAAGAAAATTGACTAATCTCACATTCTGTTTTATCCTCCTATTCGGCTCCGCTACTTTTTACCCACAAATGTGATCGCCGTCGGGAATGCGAAATCTTGTCTATCATTCTTGGGTACTTTGGTATTGCCGGATTTGACAATTCTCAAGTATAAGTAAACATCGCCTCAGAAACTTTAAATGCACCGACATTTACCCTTCACAAAATCACCCTTTTCTGGCCTTTCCTTTGTAAATTATTCTTTTAAGTCATACATATTTTTACAATTTAGCACAATTGAACGTTTTCTAAAACAAAAATTAATATTAATGAAATTACCTGTTCTAACTTAAGAAATATCGCCGCTAAGACCGCGCGAATATAAGATTCTATCATTATTTTGATGAGAGTGAATCCCCTCTCTCTTTGCTATTTAGGCGGTGAGGATTAGAGTAGGGCTATCACGAAAATTATTCTCATCGTTTACGAGAACCTTTAAGTATACGCCTTAAAACGCCTTAAAACATTAAAACGTCGTTTAAACATCGGATTTGAATAAATTGAATGTATATACAGATAAAATCATCTATGTTTTATTTCATTTTCAAAGAACGTGATTTTGAACAGTTAATTGAATACTGTGAGTTTGACATACAGGTGTAATTACATATGTATCTCAACAGTTAGATTTAAGTTCTGAACACATTGAAAACTACGAGCTACAGACCACAGCTTCCAATTTGTTATCTTCATTATCTAAACGCTTTGTCGATGGCGACATGATTTCTTTGAACGCGGCAGCGACATCATGAATTTGTATGAGTTTGACATAAAAGAAGAGGAGGAACCTTATCTGTCGCCAGAAAAATAGAAATAGATCTAATCTGGCCACAACCACAGCCGTCGCGTAGCCCGGTCGTCGCCAAAATAATTATCTACATAAGAGTACGTGTTAAAATAATTTGACGGCTGTGGTTTGTAGCTCGTCGTTTTCATTGTGTTCGGGCTATGACAGATGGAAATACATATCGGCTGCATTTCTTTATTCATTCTGAACGTTTGGAATAAACTTTTTTGTTTACTTATTCCTTAGAACGTTCCTGATTATATGTTGACGTATATTTCAAACGCATTCTGTTTATTCCGGCTGTGAAATGGGATTATCCGGAATGTATAAAGAAACGTAGCCATCGTGTAAGAACACTAAGAAAACAAAACATGTTATCCATGCCGAAGATGTTAATAGCCGTGTTTTCTTCGGCAATGATCGGGATCCGTATAAAAAAAATTTGCATACATGCACATGGACTATCGCCCAAAAACAATCGATGTTTTTCCAAAAATAAAACTATCGATTGTACAATCGATAGTTTTGCAGCTCTATCATGGAATTGGTTTAGCACAGACAAAAGTAAAATTAGTGGAAATCAGAATATCAATGATGTACTGGACTGTGTAAGTGCTTGTGTGTAAAGCAAAGAGTTTAAAACGTATTTATAAATAGTAAAATGTTTACAGCAGAATGTCAAAACAGTGCAACAGCTGTTCACTTGCAAGTTTTTGCTAGTTTCGTGTTCATTAACTTTTTCTGATAGTTTTCTCTTCTAAATTTACTGGAGCAGTTACTATAAAAATCTAATATCATTTTTGAAATATCGATATATCGATATAACGCACTAAAAAACTTTTGAAATGTCAGAGCAATATTTAAGAATCCTTGTTCAATAATAGTTAAAAGAAAGGAAGTATTATTTACTCTAAATTTTTCAAATATGAAAGATCTGTTGGCAGACAAAAAGTCTTACCTGTTAAAATATTCAATTAAAAAATTTAACTATCAGAATTTTAATCGTAAAAAAACGTTGGTAATGTTATACATATGCACATATTTCTTCTAAAATTTGTTGAACTGTTGAGGCTGTTTCCAGCTTACAAGAAAAGCGAAAAGTTTATATAAGATGACGCACAAGAAATGGAAAAGAAATTTGCCCCCCCTAAACGAAAGAGGATGGATGCCGCTTTATAAAAAGTCACCACTCCGCTGTCAGTCAGTGTGCTCAGGCCCATTGGAAATAAAAAAATATATCGATATCGCCTATATCGATATAATATCAAAATTCCTATTGTTTTCCTATTCCTATGGTTTAGGCTGTCACATTTTGATTATTTATGTATTTCAATTTTGGGTTCCAGAAAAATGGAATCAGAGGAAATTAAATTGGGAAAATTAACTGAGGAGTCTTTAAAGCGTAAAGAACGTTTGCGTCAATTACGTGGAAAAGCCCAAAAATCCGATAAAGATTCTTACACTAAAGGAACCGAAGAGCTTCCGAGGTTTTTAGTACCTTCAACTTAACAGTTTGAAATCGAGCTACTAATTGGCAATTTATTATCCATGCAGGCCTATTTTTCGCAGTTACAAACCACAGAACGAAAATACCGAAGGCGAAGTGTTAGACCAAGAACCATCCGGTGATATTGAAAAAGCAGTAGAAGGGCAGTTGGAACTATTGAATCAGCCTATGATTATCGATGAAATTGATATAGCAAATTTGGCGCCTCGAAAGCCCGACTGGGATCTAAAACGTGATGTATCAAAAAAGCTAGAACGATTAGAGAGGCGCACTCAAAAGGCAATTGCCGAGTTAATACGGGAGCGGCTGAAAAAGAATCAAACCGACCAAGAAATATTTCAGGCGGTGAACGTTGGTACGGCGCATGCCGGTGAGGCTACTACAGTCGATGATGATTAGTAATAACCAACAACTAATATATTTTATCATGTAAGGATTTATTTAATACACATATAAATATGATATAAAATAACAGAAATTGTACAAATTTACGATGGTATCTAAATTGCAAAAAAAAATATATATGTATAAATAATCGCCTATTTGCGACGAGAACCTAATGATGTAGTAGACAAGTGTGGCGAAATATTTTCTTTACCAGAAGACTTCAGTTTCTCACGTAATGCATTTATTTCTGAAAAAGGCATTCAGTTTTCGTTTTGTAAAATAAATAGTTTGTACATATACGCTCATTTACTTCAGTTGCGTCATAATGAAAAAAATGCAAATATTGAGTTAACGACCGCTATCTCTTCTAATAATAATATAATAGATCGGCGCTTACACTTGCGTTAGTGTTTGGCTGAGCTTCTCCTCCGATTTGTGGCGTGCGCCTTGAAGTTGTCTCTTCTATGTTGTGTAAAAATTTCATATACATATTTATCGATTACCGGTAGCTCACTAGACCAGAATATGTATTTTTTAGTCTTAGTAACAATTATTACCTTGTTTTATATTTCCGGTCTTAACTTTTATTTGTTGAACTATAAAATATTGCAGATCTTATTGCACTAATGATTTTGCAAATAAATGAAATGAAATATACATATATGTAGAGTCTGCTTTTTTTCGAGTTATGATACTATTAAAGTAAATGAGCAATATGTATGTATATACATACGTTCGCTGTACTTTTGTTCCAGTGCACTGGCGAATTTTCGCATGGAGTCAAGTTGTTGCGGTATTTCTTCTCGTAAACTTTCAATCGTTTTCCGCGCTTGGACCAGTTCCTTTTCTCGTAGTTGCAATAATTTATCTTTATCTTCAATTGCTTTTTCCTGTTGTAGTGCCACCTCCGTTCGCCAATGAATGGTCTTTTTAAGTTTTATTAGCTCTTGTGTTTGTTTTAATATTATTTCATTTGCTTTAGAAATTTCCTCCGCAGCCATCTCCAACGCTTTTCGTTTAGATTGCGAAATTTTCTTCTCCGCCTCCAGTTCAGCAACAACATCATCCTGCGAATTAAATTTTTACAATGTGATTTTTTTTCTAAATTGAACTTTTACTTTAGCTTTATCATATTTTTTAAACTTCTCCTGCATCTCCGATATATGATTGCGTGCATCGGCTAAATGCATTTCATTTTTACGCTCCGTATTTTTCAATTTCGATATTTCAGCGTGTAGTCTTTCTATTTGTTCCTTCAATGTTGAACTCTGTGATTTGGCGCCAGCCAATTCCTCATTAAGCAACTCGAAGCGTTTTTGTTCCTTTCTATAAGGAAGGATAAATTAATCAAAGGTGGATAAGTTATTTTTAATATATAAGAATATACATAATCAATATTCTCACATTTTCTCAGAAAGCAGATTGTTCTTCTCAGCTATTAATTTATCTGCTTGCAATTGTAGTGCCGTAATCGTCTTTTGACTACGTTCATTATCGAGGTGTCTCTGCTCAGATGCTTTTCGTAAGCTCTCTTGCAAATGCTGTAACTCTTCTGAATGCCGTTGATTTAAATTTCGACTATTATCAATCAGGGTTTCTTTTAGTTTACTATTATCACCATTCAATTGTTCAATTGTACGTAAATGCATTTCAACTTCCTGTTGTAGCGCCTGTATTTGATGTTCTTGCGATTGGTTTCTTGTCTACATTTAAACCACGAAGAATATGAGAAATACGTACATATATATAAATCATGTATATTTACCTGTATTGCATCTAACCTGCTGCTCATATAGAATAATACCACATTTAAAGGAGCCGCTCGACTGGGCAGACACAAATGAATTAAATTTTTAAAACTGCGCTTTTCTACAAATTGTAATTGATAGTCCGCAGGCTCTCCTAAGGAATCGGATTGTTTTTGTACTACTGCTAGCTCAAGCTTTCCTGACCGGCAATCTTGAAGCATTCGTGCCAGATTTTCGATAAATCCCGCGAAAGTGACATGTAATGACTGATCTTGCTTCAATGCGTTGAATGAAGAGCCGTCCACTGTAGTAATGTACATACGACGTTGATCCGCTTTCTCCGTCAATCGTAGCTGCTACAATTTACAAGTATTTTTTATTTTATATTTCATTATTTGTCCTAAGTTTTCTTACAAGCAATCCTTTGAATACAATTTTCTCTGCACATACGATGCACGGCTTCTTCGTGCGTTCGTTATCCAAACGAAAGTTTACTAATAGTTCCACTGTTGGTAAAATATTTTCAGTATTTTGGTTATAATTAAAATTGCTAAAATAATCTTCATCGGCCGGTGCATACATTTTTTCAATGATTATTTATAAATTGCACAGTACACATAAATTGTTTGTTTACGTTTCATTTAAGAATGTCCGATACTCATCGATATTCGACGATACGACATTAGGTATCGATGTTTTAGAATCGATATCGTACTAGAAAACCCCTTCAAAAATCGGGCCTACTTCATGTATGCATGTAAATAGTACTTCTAAGCCCGGGGATATGCCACCAATTTTAATTGGCAATCAAAATACAAAAATTTCGGTGATTGGTGAGAAGCATGATTCAATAATACAAGGTGGTATCAGTTGTGACAGCTCGATTTGACAATGCCTTAGCTCAGTAGAATAAGAAGAAAAATATAAAATTTCATACTTTCTTCTAAACAAAACTTGCTTTTTTATAGTACATTCGCAATGAAATGAAATAAAATAAAATAAAATACCTTTTTAAGAAAACAAAATGTGTACTGAGAGTAAAATAAAAAAAAATTCAACTATATTATTAGGCAAAGAATTGTTAAAGAAGTAACACTTGGGGTGTTCACAGTTCGTTCCAAATAGTGTCTCAAAATGTAGACGTCTACATTTTAAGACGTTTTCTAACCGTAAAATCTGTGGTGTTGATGTTTCCCTTACAAAATTGGAAAACGACTCCGTCTACATTTTGTCACACTCAAAGGTATGTTTTTTACGCGTCTACATTTTGCAACCTCGCAGCAGGGTTGCATTATGGCAATACTAATCACATTTTTTTTTTATTTATTGGGCACGTTTTCTGTATCTGCATTTAATTTGAGCGCAATTTCTGATGAAAAGAAACAAATCAAGGAAAAGAAATAACAAATATTAGGAATCGGTAATTAAGTTAAATAATTACAATTTTTCAGAAACAAAATCGAAAGGCGACATATAAAAAATGCACGCAAAGAAGAAATGTCTGGCAACACCAGCAAAGTTTTGAGACGATTTTGCGACAACTGCTAGAAAGGGCTGCTCACAGTTTGATGCTAAAGATGTCTCAAAATGTAAACGTCTACATTTTCAGACACAATTTGGAACGAACTGTGAACACCCCAACTGTTTCACGTAAGGCAGTCAATATGGCGGAATTAGAGCGGGAAGTTGCCAACCGATAACACCTTGTATTATTTCATCATGGAGCCAAGGTGTGTTTTACGGCCCGTCTCCACAGGCAAAAGTTTTTGCCTACCAACTGTCATTTTTATTGCCTGATAAAAATTTTATCAGCGGCAATATTTGTGCGTGGGCATTTTTTATCTTGACAAAAGCATTTATAAGATGGCAATTTTCGCCGGATTTCATCAATTAAAAAGTTTGAAAAATATGCTATTTCACACCCAAGCAAATAATAACACATATTTTAATAGAAATCAGTTCAATTTTTGCTTTTATATTGAAATATCGATAATGTTGTCTCCACGAAGCTATCGCGCAAATGAAAATGTAGCTGTCAAAGTACCAAATTGCTGGCAATATTTATCAAGATAAAAGCGGCACCCTGAAATTGTGCATATGGAAACTGTGCATACGAAATAATGCATATGAAAAAAACCGAAATAATGCATACGAAAAAAACCGAAATAATGCATATATGCACAGTTTCGGTTGAAAACCGAAATAACGCATTTGAGAAAAACGAAGTAATGCATACATGCACAGTTTCGGTTCAAAACCGAAATAATGCATATGACAAAAACCGAATTAATGCATACATGCACAGTTTCGACTCAAAATCGAAGTAATGCATATGACAAAAACCGAAATAGTGCATACATGAAAACGAACTTCTTTCTGAGTAGGCGGCCTTCGGCCGCGCTTTGGGATTATAACCCTTACTAAGTAGAATTCTCCTTTCTGTGTTGCCGGAAAAGGGGGCCGGAAGTAATTTTGCGCAGAACTTCTTTCTGCGTAGGCGGCCTTCGGCCGCGCTTAGGGATTATAACCCTTACT